CGCAAATAGCTATTTCTGTGATTAATTTCGCGACACTCAGGTAATTGTTATTTGGTTTCCTAAAGCTATTAAACTCTGGTCACGGCTATTAGCGGAAACCGATGACTGAGGATTTGTGTTCTATTAGTTGTAACACCAACAAACTTACTAAATGGATTCGCTGTTTTAACGATGAATCGTGGGGAGATACTTTGTGTATTTCCTCCAGCCCCTTCACTCGACTCACATTTTGATACCGATGAGTATACACCTTATGAATAAAGAAAAACATGAAGTCACTAAAAATGTTTGTACGTGAGAGGCATGTAAAATTCCTCCTTTTAATCGATCTTTCGAGATGTAATTCATATTTAAATCACCATATCGATAACATTATGTTGCTACAGTCGAACCTCGATTACCTAGAAACGTTGGGTTAAGACAAAACCGTTGGGATAATCGAGAATATGAATATTAATGAGAAAATGATTAAATTAAGAAAGCGAAATTTAATCGTAAAACAAAACACTTCCAAATCGTTTTGAGAAAAAATATAGTCTACAGGTAACACAACTATCTCACTCAGCGACAAGCAACTCTAAGCCAATCAGACTTCAGATTCAAATGTTCTTCATTAGTAAGTTACGATGCGTGCGAGCGCTGCTTTTGCTTTTTGAAAGCGAAACAAACTCGCCTTCACTTCACTTTTCAACGCTGTAGAAGATGGCTACGGATCTTGATCATGAGAAATAAATATTCATGTCAAAATTGGGACCAGAGAAAAAAGTTCGGATCATCGAGGTCCAGATAATCGAGGTTCGACTGTAGTATGACTATCTGTTTGTAAGTTTGAAATTTATAAAATGCCTCTTTTTCCAAGACCTTGTTCGTTTTTAAATTACCATACCAATTACATTACATTAGTTTTATTGACCAAAACATAGCAAAAAGAGTCATCGCTTCATTAAGAATCAAGACTTGATGTCATGACTACCCGAGACGGGATGAAAGCCAACTGTTTTTTAAAGTATAATAAACCCACGAAACATATGATGCACGATCCTCGCAGTAGATAGCGCTATTT